TATTGGCAATAATAATAATCATCATTATTATAAAACCTAAAAAATATATTGTACTCAACAATAATAATCAAATATTATTTTGTGTTTTGTTTGTGGGACTAATAATTGTGTGTATGTATGTGTGATACATATATAACAATTTTTTTTTTAAATAGTATAAACTTATTATTTTGAATAATAATAATAATAATAAATAATTTTCATCATCGTCATCATGATAAATTACTAAAAATTAAAAAATAATTATATAATAATAATAATAATAATAAAAACCATCTATAAATACACACAAAATACATGTATGTGGGGGGAGATATGTGTGTGTGTGATTTGAAAGCCTATATATATAAAACAAATGGGTGATATATTTTTTTTTTAAATTTAAAAATTAGTATTATTATTGTTAATAACAATTTGTTATACATGTTTACTGTTTTTTAAAAAAAAAATTGTTTTACATAATTATAAAATTGTTTATCTCCAACACACACACACACACACAATACACATTGAATGTGTGTGTGTGGGGGGGGGGGTGGAGGGGTAGTCAATGGGTTATCATTATTATTGCAATGATAGCTTAAATACATTATTAGAATTCAATTACCTGGGTATTATCTGCTGTTTGTTTTTTGTTCAACAAAAAAAAATTTTTATATTATCAATGATTGTCTGGACAAATGTATATTCAATTACTATATTATGTTTTTTTTTTAAAAAAAGCAATAAATGTGTGTTTGTTTTAGTTGTTTTTAAAAACATTATATAACAATATTATCGATAGTTTGCGTTGGTTTTTCTTAAAAAAAAAAACTTTTTTTTTTAATTATTATTATTGTTTGGTCTCATTATATATATATATATAATTGTGTGTTAAATATTATTTATATATTTATATCAATAAATACTGGTGTATTTGACTAATCATTATACATATATGTATGTATGTATGTGTTTGTATGTGTGGCCAAAGCTGCTACTGTACTAAAAAAAACTCCCTAAAATATATATATATATAGTTTATATATATATATATATATAAATATATGACCAAATAATAATAATAATATTTTAAATTAAGCAACAAAATAGCATTATTATAATAGATATATATATATATAATAATAAACTAGTTAATAATAATATTAATAATAATAATAATCGTTAACTATTTATATGTATAATAATAGTATGGTATATACTGTATATATAATATATAGTATTTTATATAATTTAATCTTTTTAATAATAATAATTAATTAATTAATAATGAGTACTCAAATTAAAGAATATGAGATAAAATGGTTAAAAATTAAATTAATTTAATGATATATATATATATATAGATATATATATAATAGAGTCAATGATTTATTGTTTGTTTGTATAGTGGAAATGTGTGTAAAATTTAAAACTAATTGATTTCCTCCGTAAATACTTATTATTTTTTTTTCCAATAAAAATTTCTCTTAATATTTAGCGATGATTTAGTTGTTTTAGTGTTATTTTTTTTCAATGGTTTCATTTCATTTACTATATATTTTCATTATCATTATAATTATTGATCAAATATGACTATTAAGAGGGTTAGAGAGTGTGTGTGAGAGAGAGAGATAGAGATATAGTGAGTGAGAGTGGGTTGTCCTTAAGCAAAGTACATAACTTTGGTAGTATCGGGATGTACGGTAACTGCTCGGGTCAGTGCAGTTACTGTCCTCTCGTCACCGTTGGTTCCCGAATGATGGCTCGAACTTTCACCGCTATATATTTGAAATTAATAATAATAATAATAATAATTAGTTTGATATATAATAATAACAACTATTTAGGGGGACATACCTATCGTGCTCTTTCTCTACTAAATGATATCTGGCTCGGAAAGCCACCAAATGTGCATAATATGCCGGCGCCGGTATCGATACGGAACGGGTACAGCGCACATAAGTGTGACATAACTGATAGGTCAAACATTGTAGTTCATCTGTATGTATGGTAACCGGTATATTAAATCAATCAATCAATCGATTAAAGTATATAATAATGAGAGATAATAATCACATACCGGCTGTAAATTGGTTGTCATCCCAGAGCACGTGATAATGAGAGGGACGACTTGTTCCCTAAAAAATAAGAAAAAAAATATATTATAATAACAATAACAGGCAATGAATGTATTTATATTATATATATATATATATATAAGTATAGGACAACTGGACAATAATAGGACTAACTTGAATGCCTGCGTGCGAGCACAGGTAGAAATCAAATTCAGTCGGATGAGTAATGCCGACATCGACAGTAGTACCGGCCGGAATGTTACCGCTTTTACCGATTTGTTCGCGTTTATCGGAACAAAATAGCCGGGTGTGATGACGCTTCTGGACAACTATAAACGTAATACCTGGCCGATAGTCGTCCTCCAGTTTCATACAAGCGCTTCGGACGGCCAATAATTCGTGGGCCAAAACCTGATGAAACTGGCCCTCGGATACGCCGTCCCGATAGAAGATAATACGATTGGGTTTAAAACGAGTCGATTTATAGAACTGTATGAGCAGTTCTTTGACCATTGTCGACAGATCGTGAATGATTTCCTGCCGGTGCTGCTGAACACGTACAGTGGCCGCGTATCTACTCGGATGGGCATCCATAGAGCCGACCACTGCGGCAATGGAAGGCTTTTTATTATCACCAGCGGGAGGATGGGTTACATCTGCTCCCAAAAATATAAGCGGTTCGTTGAAAACCTTTGGTCTGTATATTAAAAAAAAAAAAATTGAAAATAAAATTAAAATTTTTTTTAACAATTTATTATAATATATTTGAGAGGACATACCTAATGTTGGGCACCAGTATATTGTTAATTCCGCCCAATTTGACATTGATTTTGAGACACAGATTAGACAATGTTTGCGGTGATGTTTTATTAACATTTTTCGCTTGAACGCATTGGGTGGCCATACCGAGTACAGTATCGCCAACACGTTTGACTTCAGCGTAGACGGGTGTCTTGCCTGGCAGGACGACCACTACCAGTTGCAAACCCTGGAATGTTTGTTTCAGATAGCGAAACATTGGTTCCACTTGATCCGGTCCGTTAGCGTATTTGCAAAAACATGGCTGACCAATGATGGGCATACCGGCGTCGTTGGATATTTTCTGCAACTGTTGGGTAAAGTTGCGCAACGAATCCTCCCGACAGGTGCGCTGCGGCGCGAAACAGGCTATAGCCCAGGTCCGGATTTCGACGCCCGTATGAAACTGTTTGCCCCTCATATCCCATACACCTTGATTGGGTATAGCCTGCTGTTTGGTTCGGCCGCCGTACTGTAGTTTCGGTGGCGGCAACACTCGCCCCTTCACTTCCATCATCTGATTGCTTATAGACAGACCAAACTCTTTGACAAACGGATCGTTATTGAAGTCAGCTTTGGTAACCAAATTGTTTATTTCGCGTTCCCTATCCGGTGCCGATCGGGCGGTAGCCTTAATCATTGTCGACGTCTGCATGTCGGTCAACTTTTTGATACACCGCTGACCGGCCACAATGTTGCACACTTCGAGCGGAAGATACGTATGTTTGTGCTCCTGACCGACTTGAAGACACGGCAAGTGCGGGTACCGTAACTTCATTTTGTATTTATCCAGAAAATACTTGGCAACCGTGCACTCGACTGTCTGGCCGTTTTCCAATTGCAGGGGAAACGACTGCAACTGGGCTGGCCTGCGGGTAACATTGCATACACGATATTTGCGTCGCATTGTACCGCAATGTGTGATCTCAATCTTCAGTCCTTTGATCTCTTTTGTAAACTTCACTCTCGACGAATCGGTTAACGGTTTTCGTTGATCGTTGATATCTCTGATGTCCAATACTTCGCACATAAACTCGACAACCGGCTGCGCCTTATAGAAAGCAGTGGCACTCACGTCGATATTCAGCGTCATCTTCCACTGGGATGGCCGTACGCTTTGATGAAAACCAAACCATACTTCGCGGCCGCCACCGAGCGGATGATAGTAGCCGTCGGGCGACGAAAAAAACGAACGGCCAACCGGTGTGTAAGTCATCGACGGCAAGTGTCTCATCACTACGTCCAGCGCTTGTATGGAATCCAATGGAATTGTTCGGGCGTTTCCCTCCAATGCCTCTTCCAACGTATTGAGGCTAACCTGCGAAACCCATTTGATGGCCACCCGAAACACACGATCTTTGCCCTCACCCGGTAGTGTCACTTCGAGCTCAACCTAAAAAATAATAATAATAATAATTAAATAAATGGTAATTAAGACAACAAGTCATTATTAGACACATACCTTATCCCTTCCGATCGGCAGATCATCTCTGGTATACATATTTTTTCTGCCGTCAAACACCGGTTTCTGGGTTCCAAATATCTTGGAATATGACTGAACCATTGTTTCGATAATTTCCCGATTAATTTTTCTGGGACACTTATCCGGCGTAATGGTAATGTCGTAGTGATGTAGAAATCCACGGGGCATTGTTATCTGGAAATGATTGGCCCGTAGAGTAATCAGACGACCATCGGTACCGACGTTTGGCCGTCGCGGACAGACAAACATTACTGGCAGAACAGCGTCCAGGCCGGCCGGTCCCGGTACTCCGGGCAGTCCTCCAGGAACACCTTGTAGTCCAGCTGGTAGTCCGGGCATACCGCCGCCGCCACCACCACCGCCGCCGCCGCCGGGCATCATCATCGAACCCATTGGCGGTCCAATTGGCGGCTGTTGCTGTCCGGGAGCCATCTGCGGGGGCGCCATCGGTGTCATACCTCGCGGACCGCCTGGTGGTCCGGGAGCTGCGGTCATTCAACCAAAACAACAAAAAACACAAACAAATTATTATAAACTATTAGCTATAAACCCGTTGGTTGGTTGGTTGGTGTGTATGGTTTGGCGCCACTACTACTACTACTAAAAAACCTAACCATCACATCACCACCATTACCACCGATGATAATCAATCAATCAATCAATCAATACATACGTTGACCGCCCAATGGATACATAATGGGAAGGATGTCGTCAAATCTGAATGCGTTCGTAATGAAGCAATAAGATGGTCACCACTCGCTATATCTTGAAAAAAATGTTTATTTTTGGGATCAGATCAGTGATCGATGACCACACACACGGCTGATGGCGGTGGCGGTGACCACACACACACACACACGGCAAACGGCGGCGACGACAACGATGATCTCGGATGTTCGGGTTGGTTGGTTGGTTGGTTGGCCGCAGACAGTCGGTCGGTCGGTCGGTCAGTCAGTTTCTCACAGACAGACAGACAGTCGGACAGACAGACAGATACTGTTGCTGTCGATGGCCTACACAATGAAAATGTATGGGAAGAGTGAGAGAGAGAGAGAGAGAGAGAGAAAAAAAAAGGTCACATCATATAAAATGGCTGAACATTAGTATACAGTACTGTATATACTGTTTATAACTATGTATTGTATGTTAACTAGGGTTGACAGCAATAAGTTTGCTGTTTATATAGTACTTTATATAAATAATTTTTAAAAAAATTAATAAAATTAATAATTATTTTTTTTAAAAAAAATAATATTAATAACTATAAGTATTACTACAATCGATAACATAAACAAATAAAATAAAAATTTATTAGAAAAAATTGTGTAAAATGTTTTTTTGAGTTTTTTTTATTTTTTATAAGTAGATTTTTGATGTTTTTATTTTTTTTTATTTATATTTTATAGCCAATAAAATAAAACACCATTTATCAAATTAAAAAAAAAAACAATAAAATCAAAAAAATAATAATAATGTATAATAAATTCTAAGATTTAATTATTAAATTGTTTTTTATTTTTTAAAAATATCATAATTTTATTTTTATTATTAGAAAACAATTTATTATCATTAAATAAAAATTATTGTTATAATTATATTTTCATTTAATAAGATTTATAAAAAAAAATTAATTTTTCAAACAATTTACATAAGTTTTACAAATGCATAAAAATACAAACAATTTACTGTATTATTCCAACCATAATAATATACATACTATACTCTCACACACACACACACACACACACAGTGTGCGCGCTATAAATAGTGAGTGAGTGTGTGATTGTCTATTATATACAGTATATATATATATGTATTGAGAGAGAGAGAGAGTCGACTCAAATCTATACACATATTATGTGATTCATATAATACAGAGAAATAAAAACATTTGTCTAAAATAGTGCAATAATTTAGGGTTCGACCAAAAAATTTTTTAATTCCCCCCCCCATTATAATAATCCAAAAAAGTTCCTTATGTTCCCTTATATATACTCCCTAGGAAATTCCTTATGGAATTTATTTCCATGTCCTATCATACAACTTTATTATTATAATTATTATTATTATTACTGTATTTATAATTATGATGTTTAAATTAATTAGATTTTTAATTAATTAAAAAAAATCAATTAATATATAATAATTATAATATTAAACTTTTTTTTATAAAAAAAAATTATTAATAATTCACACACATATATATATAAATAGTAATTAAATTTTAAAAAATTTAAATTAAATAAAATAAAAATTTATTGTTTTTAGTATTTTATTTATTTGGGTAATATTCTCTCTCTCTCTCTCTCTCTCTCTCTCTCTCTCTCTCTCTCTCTCTCTCTCTCTCTCTCTCTCTCTTTTTTAACGATAATTAAAGTGAGGAAAAATAATAAAATTATATTTATTAAAAAAAACAAATAAATAGGAAATATTATTCTAGAGAGGGAACTTTTTACTTTTACTTTTTTTCACCCACTAAACAACGTTACACTATATACAGTGTATACTGTATATAGTGATACCTATTGGCTATTATTGTAATCATTATTATAAACAAATTATATATAAATAATAAACAAAAAAAATATTAATAATTTAAATATTTATTATTTATTTTTTATTTTATTTATACAGTCTATGAAAACATAAACAAATTGATTGATTAAAACAATTTGTTTTATATAATTGTTTTGTTTTTGTTTGTTTTGTTGACACCATATGTATGTCAAACAACAATAATAATAATAATAATATTATCTTATATTCATTGCTAGAGTTATCGCAATTGCATTCACTAAACAAATTGAATGCATTGATCGTCAATAAGTTGATTATTACCGCCGATGACGACGATGACCACAACAACGACAAGACATCATCGTTGGCCAAATTGTTGGCCTCACTGGACGGCCAACTGATTAGTCAAGTCGGACCTCATCTGCAATTATCGTCAGCCGATGGCCGCCAGTCGTCGTCTTCGTCCAGACGTTTGCAGCCGTGGCTCGAGATTCTGGTTTTGTCCCGAACTATTCGCCGCCAGATTGACCTCAGTCTCCAGTCGATGGCCACCACTCGCGGCGATGTCAACAACGATACCGCCTCTGCCGCCGCCGCCAAACACCCGAATATCAGACAACACATTCACTGGTCGTACACATCGCTAAACTTGTTGATCATATCGATGTCTTTGATTAGCCGATTGGACACTGAATTCTTCATAACAAAAACAAGCGAAACATTTCAGCCGAAAATGTTTGACATTTTCTATCAGCTGAAGACATTGAAAGTCTTATCGTTTTTGGCTATAGAGCCGCAACTGCCTATTGATTTGCTATCGGCGATCATTAACGAAACATTTTTATGGACCGAACCGACCAAAGTGGACGTATCGGCAATGCGGACACATTCGCGACTAATATCCCAATTGACTAATATAGTGAAAGATACGAAAACATTGAACGCCTATATGACGGATCAGTTTCTGTTCATACTTAACGAATGTCTTCAGTTTATATCAACACATATGCAATCGTTTATCGATTATATTGTCCAGAAAATTATCAGTCAGAAGACACAATTGGATCTAATTGTCGACAATTTTGTTGGCGACGACACTAAACTCAAGAAGAATCTCGACGATAGTTTTTCGGGAACCGATTGTGAATTGTTTATCAAATTTTTGGATCAATTGGCTACTGATCGGTCACTAATGGTAAACGAAGATTTTTTGATACAATTTTTTTGTCAACAATTTGCTATCGATTGATCTATTTTTTAATTAATTAATTTTAATTTAATTTAATCATTTTGTAATCGCATTTATGATTATTATATACCGCGATAATTAGTAGTCATATATTATTATTATTATCTATAATAATAATATGTATTATAAATGCAATTATTTTATTTTAAATTACTGTAATTTACCGGTTAATTACTGGTAAATAGTTTTATTATTTTTAAGTACCGATAAATCATAGTCATATATATATATATATATATATATATGTAGATAATTATATAAATCATTTTTTTTTGAAACATTATTCAATACTTTTAAAAAATAATTTTAAATTATAATACTATAACTAACTATTATAAGTAAATTTAGAAAACATTTTAGGAAATCTTTATCAAAATTATTATTTTTTTATAATGTAATCGACTAAATAGTAATGTTAATAATAACAAACAAATAAACTGATATTTAATGTATTTTTTATGTAAAATTATTTTTAATATATCCGGTAAATTATTTATTTAAATAAAATATACATAATATTTAATAGAATAAAACAATTTATTTTTAAATATAATATGATTTCATAAAATTATTTATTTTTATTTATTTATTGTTAAAACATGGGTAAAACAATGGACCAAAAAATTGTCTATTTATGGGATAATATTTTGGTGACAATTATTTAACTATTTTTTTTATCTGTGTGTATATAAAAATAATTTACTAAAAAAAAAATAAAATAAAACTAATATTATTGTTTTAAAAATATAATAATAATTATTATCATCTTTGAGATCAATAAGTAGAGGAGTAATGATGTATATAAATGAGAGATTTAATTAGTTTTAATTAATTTGATCATCAATTTTATTAATGTTGTTATTAATGATGATTTTTGTTTGTTTAATACTTTAGGATTTTAAAAAAAAAAAAAATATATCAATACTAAAAAAATATATAATTGGTAAAATTTGGTATTTAATAATAATAATAATTAAAAAAAATCAATTGTGATAAAAATAGACATTACTACTAGCAGCTCCCTGAACATAGTTTAGTTAGGAAAATATGATATAATATTAATAATAATAATGGTTATAATTGGCACTTTAATGGTGTGTTTGTATGTATTTGTAGAGTGTGTGTGTGTGTGTTTGTGTGGGGGCGGGAACGGTATGTATATGTTTTGTACGGTGGTTTAATCAATTGATGGTATGTGGGTTGGATTGGTTTGGGTGGTTGGTTGGTTGGTTAATACACACCCACCCACCCACCCACTCCCCCAAACCAAACAACTTATCTGAGTTTGATTTTGTAAAGTTTAAGTTTAAACCCGAGTAGTTCGGTTAGTACGGCCGAAAAGGCGGACAATACGACTACTTTGGTTATATTATAGAGGTATGGATTGGCACAGAAGCCAGAGATCTTGTACGGACTTTCCAATTCTTTGAGCAAATCGGCCGCCAATTTCAGGACATGATTAGCCAGTGTTAGTTCGTCTTTCTTGTGCGGCTTCTGTTCCATTTGGAGATACAGATTGATCTGTTCGGTGATCAGTATGGATAGGTTTTCCCTGTATTTCCGATTGATACGGGAGCCGAGTATCATCAGTCGCATAATGAATAGGCCGAGTGCCAGATTCCAGAATACCATTTCCCAACAGTAGAGTTTGGCGGCACAAACCTCCGACTCTTTCAGTAGCTGAAGACAGATGAATGTCAATATGGATACAGCGATTACAAAACTACTCGAACAGATGGCATCGACAGATCTAATTGGTCCGTGTCTATGATGATGATGGTGACGGTGAAGGTATGTATGATAATAAACAAATAGATTATAAATACTTTGTTTGTTTGTTTGATTAGATTGTTTGGTTGGGTGTTATGGATATGGATATCAATCAATTGTGTTAAACAATTATACCTTCGTAAGTAGGATCGCACCGATAGCCATATTTTCAGATTTCTAACTTTATGTAGCCTAAAGTGAGGCACTTCCGACCGTTTAGCCCGATCCCGACGGGTTAGTTGCGAAAAATATTTAGCGTATAAAAAGCGCTGTTTTTTTTTATATATCAACAATAAAAAAAGATTATATTAATTAGTATTTTTGTTAATTTTTGTTATATAGTTTAAACTTTTTTTTTTAACAATATCTGGTGATGTCTTAAGCAATAAAACAACTAATGGTTTACCTGTTTGAAGGTGCGCTCCGCCACACATAATAGGAAAAAGTATAGCAACGATAGGACCAGCCGTTCAATCATTGCTATCAATACAACACACCGTACTCTACGGGTAATTGAAATTTTTAGTGTAAAATGATTTTATCGGTAATTAATTAAACATTATATATATATATATACCTCCAATTAGATCCGAAAATACATTCGCCTATCAGATCCAAGTCGACTGTCGGAAAGTTCAACAAATCGATAATCTCTGAACTATTAGCTGCCGCCGACTGGGCGGCCGTATTGCCGTTTTGCTGTATACGAAACAGACCGGGCAGAATGGCCAGTATTATGGAAAAAACAAATCCCAAATATATATATTCGGCCGAATGTTTGGCCGAATCTACTTTACGTATGATCGACGAACTGATGTCCATCACTGATAGATCCACTTTCTGGCACTCGTGCTGTTGCCAAATGGCACAACTGACTGTTTGGTTGTTTTGTGGATCAATTGAATCAATTGATGAAATAATTATTTTTTTTTTAAATACCTTTAGTCTCGTTGGTGGTATCGTCGTGACACAACTCGTTGAATATTGAATACAATGGCGACGCAACTTCGTCGCCAAACTCCGGATAAATGAAATACTTGGCCGCAGTCGAGCCGCCAGTATCCTGATGGCTGTCGTCGTCGTCATCGTCGCCATCCGAACTGGCATCGGAGTTGATCAATGGCCAGTCCATATCCGAGCCCATGGCTATACCCTATGATTGATTGATTGATTGATTGATAAGAGATATTGTATAAATCATTTGATGGTCGATATGACAAACCGGTGTCGGCGTATTGGGAGTGGTTGGCGATAGTGTGCCCTCCGAGTCGCACGAAGAGTATAGTAGATCCTGTTGTTGTTTCTTATGATGACGACTACCAGCGAAAGCCGGTTGCGGTGGAGACAAATGCAACGATTTGACACGTCTTCGTTTGTGTTGTTGTTGTTGCAGTTGTTGTTGTTTCTTAAATCTAAGTCTATCTCTTAGTTTACCATTTTTTTGTTTAAAATCTTTGCTACCCTCCGAATATCGCCGGGTAATTGAATCGATGTCCAACTCATCGTCATCGTCGTCGTCATCGTCAGCATCGAGTCTTCTGTTTTGCTGGCATTTGCTATTACCACCTAATCCTACTCCTCCTACTCCTCCTCTTCTTCTACAACTACTTCTATCGTGTCTCGACTCAGATAATCGGCGCCAAACAAAGTGCTGCTGTTTTGTATCGTTATCTTCGACATCGAAATCATCGGAACTGATTTCTGAATTATCGACCGATAGTTTTTCGCTAATCTTAATACTGGGAATACAATCGCCAACACTTCTTCTATGATCATCTATGACTTCTACGATATTCAACTTATCCATCGATCCGACAACGAATCCACGCCTTTCGATCAATGGTTTCTTATTCAGACAAATATCTGATTTAATATCAAGACTTCCTAAACCGCTTTCTTCATCCGAAACAACAACTGTCGGCTGTCTGTTGGTTGTCTGCTGACTGGTTGTCGTTTCTGAACTCTTTCGTTCAGTAAAAGACTGTGAAGACTGTGACGACTTTGATTTGCGTTTTCGTTTCTTTGTTGTCGTCTGTTTGTACGAATTGGACGACGACTTTGACGACGACAATGTATGATAGGAGGACTGACTACACGATGATGGCTGACCAACACCACCACCACAACCACCACCACCGCTACTGGTTTTGTTGACCACTTTAGTACCGACTATTTGCGTATGAATGGCACCCAATATGACCATCATTACGATTGGCATCAGTACTTCACTGGCAGGTATTTCGGAAAACTGGTCGTCCGATTCGGTTGTCGGTGTTGTTGTTGTGCTGGTAGTAGTAGTAGTGGTGGTGGTGGCGTCGGCATTGATATCGGAACCGGAAAACATGTCCTCAAAGTAGATGCGAAGTGATATTACTTGCAATACATAGAGACTTAACAATATAAAACAAATCAATCCGTTTGTCTGCTGTGACCACCATTTAATATAAAACGGCATTAGTAGGACCCGATGTATGCCATTATAGGTGGCCGATAGCCAACCTTGTTGTGGCTTAGCTTTCGTAAAGGCTGTACCGCGAATCAGATCCAAATCAATCAGTTCGGTCTTGACTTTGGCCACCTTTCGTGGCATTGCCGACTCCAGTCCATTCAAACCGTTCACAATACGGTCATCGATGGTTTTCTCCCATTTTTGTTTGTCATACGAACCAATCTATTAGTTTTTTTTGTTGGGTGTTGTTGTTGAAGGGGTAATGATATTTGATTTCATATCCAAAAAAATTAATAATTATTTTTTATCATTTAATTTAATTATTAGATTATTAATTCACAAATAATTTTTTATATATATATATATGTAATTACCGGTTAATAAAATTTTTTTTTAAAAATAAAATTTGAATTACTTAACTGACCAGAAAATAAATTAATAATAATAAAATGTCAATCAATTGGTAAATAAAATCATTTATAGTATTTATTATTTTTTTAAATTTTTGTTTTGTTAGTTTTTTTTTATATATATTTTAATTTTTAATTCCAATGTAAATAATTTTTTTTATAAATTTATATAAATTCAAATCATTTTGTTTTTTTTGTTTAGTTTTTTTCAATACAAAAAAAATTGTACAAAATTATAAAAACATTAATTATAAAAAAAAATATATGAATATTTACAAAAATTTTATTTTTTAACATTAAAAATTAAAACATAAAATTATTCAAGTATAAAATATTAAATAACAAATAAAATAAAATCATTAATAATTCAATTAAAAATACTAATAATAAAAATAAATACTAATAGGAAAATATAATTTTTTAAAAATAAATATTTTAATAAATAATTAATTAATTTTAATTAATAATAAAATTTTTAAATACCTTTTTCTGATATGAAGACAACACTTCATCCATGGATTAGGGTTTAAAATATTTGTTTTTTGGTTTTTATTTATTTATTTATCTAATTAATTATAATATTGTGATAATTGGATTAATAAATATGATATACAATTGAAATTTTTTTTTAAAAAAATTGATAAAATTTAGTGATAAATTTAGATCTAATTTCAAATTAATATTAGATAAAATATATATATGAATATACTAAAAATATATATAACAAAATCAATACAAATTATTATTATTATTATTAATATTTATTTATTAATGTGAATAATACTTGAATAACAAATAAAATACTGTATATATATAGCATATATCACAATATTATAACAAACAACAATGAAATATAATTATTACAATATTATTGACTGGTATATATATATATATTATTTATTATCAATGATAATATGGCAATTATATATTTTATTTCTAATCAATAAATATATTATTTAAAAATTAAATCCCAATACACTGTGTGTATGTAAATCTAATAGGTTTACAATATATATATATATATATACGGTATATAAGGGTGATTGTCCACACATTAAAAAAAACTACTAATCAAATAAACTAAAATAAATATATATATATATATATATAAACTAAACTCATCTATCATATGATCATATCTAGCGGTTTGACCCCCCGTTTGACTCGTTTACTATATATATATATATATAATTATATGAGTGTATATACTTGTTATTAACCCATTCATTCAATTCAATGATAAGAAAATAAAATAAAATATATATATATATATAAAATTTCATCTGACATTGAAAATTACTGGCAATATATACTGTATGTACACTACCGTCAAGTGTGGAGTTAATATACTGTATACTAGACTATGAATATACAGTAATATGAATATATATATACAGTATATACATATATATTAAAAATAAATTACATTAAACTACCGTATTTTTCTATATATATACAGTATATATATACACATATGTATATATATAGTATATAAATGTTATGGAATATATATTGCTATAAGCAACGTTTTTTTTAGAGAATCATCACTAATAATAATAATAATAATAATCTAGTGTTGCCAGATAAACTTTTTTTTTTAAAAATTATAATTATAAAATGATACATGTTTTTTAAAAAATAAAAATTATTTGTACTGTATACTGTATATACAAGTAATAGCAATTAAAGTTTATAAAATTAAAGATTATACAAATAACCTATTTAGTACATATCAAAAAATGATTATTAGTATGAGTTTATTGTACTTTACTTATTGTTTAATAAAAATTTTCAAAAATTATTATTAATTATCTGTTAAGTTAATTATGTTATATACAGTATATATATCACAAAGTTGATCAATGAATCAAAATATAACACTTAATTGGCATCACTGGTATATACAGTAAATATTTTTTAAATAATAATATTAATATTATAAGAATATATACAAAATAATTATACATATTATATATATATATATTGAAAATAGATTTTTAATCAGTTTTCACATTTAATATTTTTAATAGTATTATTTTGTTGACTATTAACTATTCAATATTTTTCAACTAAATGTATTGCATTTTTTTAAAAAAAAACTTAATATTAATGTTTCCAATTCATTATTATTATTTTTTTTGATATATTATATGAAAAAAAATCTAAAATTGAAGGTAAAACCTCCAGACCTGGCAACACTATCAACAATATACAGTAAATACCAGTTTGTTATGTTGTTATGTTTAGTTATGTTATATCACAAATACATTTGTATTAATAGGGGTGATAATACCAGCAGGGTGATTAACTATATAATTATATTTATTAAAAAAAAATAATAATCAAGTATAATAATTATAATTTTCTACTATTAATACTATGATTGATCTAGTTACATTTAAAAAAATAATCAATAAGCTACGACATTTATCATATATATATATTGTATAACATTAACATGCATATTATTTACTTATATATTATTATTATTACGTAACCCTTATATAATAGACGTATATTTCAATACTGTAATTGATTGATGCAATTAAATAAAGGTTAACAAACTTATGGATACATATATGATAAATGTAAAGTAAATTATCGTTATATTATGTAATATATGGTAAAGTATTTTCTAACTGTTATACAGTAGTAGTAATAATAATAATAACTTATCAAAATTGATATCAATCTTATTTTATATTAAGATTATATATATATATATATATATATATATATATATATATATATATATATATATGATAATAAAATAGTAATGTTATCAAAAAAATAGATACCATAATAATTTATATTTCAATATATATATATATATATATATATATATATATATATAACTTTATATACWTTTTTTTCAATCATAACTTGATATTTTAAATGTTTAATTTTAAAAATTATTTTTATAAATAGTTATTTAAAAACTTTTTTTTAATTATTATTATAGAATTTGTTATAATTATTATTATTTGTAATATAAGTATAATGTTTATCCTTAAAAAAAAATTTATTTACTAAATGAATAATGATTTTTATTGGACATCAAAAAATTTAATTTAATTAATTAATTTAATAAAATAAACTTTATTTAATTTAATTTTATTTATTAACTTAAAAAAAATCAATTTATAAATCAATTTAGTAGTCGTTGTCAAATGTTATCTCAATGATTATATATATGATAGTTGTTATGTGATGTTATTTAGATGAAAATGAAACCAACAACAAAAAAAAGTATATATATATAATAATAATAATATACAAATTGATATTAAAATCAAATATAATATTATTTATAATAATATATTGTTGAGAGTTAGTTAGTTCAGTTAGGCATCGATTTCACCCAAATATAAATTTTTATCACTTGATCCGGATAGTACTTTAGACATCAAAAAAAAAAACAAAAAAAAATTATTAATATAAAATTTAATACCCAATTGATATTAGATATTATTATTATTACGATTGTGTAATTAAAAAATCACTTACCAATTGGTTCAGTGGGATGAAACACTATATCGTTAACTGATCCCAAATGGCCGGGAAGTTTGTAAAGCAGTCGTTTATGTGTGACATCCCATATGTAGACAAAACGATCGGCCGATCCGGCCGTTACTTTTGTACCATCCGGTGACCAATTGCATCGCAACAGGTTTTTCTCGAAGTTGTGCTGATGTCCGGTCAGTGTTTTGATGCACCGGTCCTGCGGTGCAAACGGACGTATATCCCAAATGCAAACTAATTTTTTAAAAAAATAAAATAAAAATTTAAACAATGTATTTAAAAAAAAATTAATCATAATTTATATTAATATCTGTATATTGGATGTAATTTAATAGTGTATCCGATAAAATATGATACTATTAATTATATATATATATATATAGCTATAACTAATATATATCATAATTTATTTTGTTTAACAAAAATCTCTCATTAACTATAAGTTTTGTAAATTATTATTTAAATCATTTAAATTTTTTTTTTTGGGAAATATTAAAAAATAAAATAAAATTCTATTTAATAGCTAAAAACATATGTTATATTGATTTTGTTTGATAAATACCCGGTAATTATCCGGTAATTAATGTTTAAAAAAAAACTTACGTGAATTATCCATAGAATTAGATAATACAAAGTTGCCATCAGGACTAAGAGCTAGTCCGGTAACGGTATCAAAATGACCGGCCATTGTATATAAAACATCATTTTTCCGGAGATCGTAGACTTTCAATATATTTTCGATACCCGAAAATATGATCTGATCGGCCGATTCGTTGAACGTAATGGCCGTAACCTGATATTGGCTCTTATGAAACGATATCTGACCTTTTTTTCGGGTATCCCACAACCGGACCGTACAGTCGTCGCTACCGCTGCACAACATATGCGATCCGCGTCGGGCCGGATGACAACAATTGACAAACGATTGATGAGATGCCAGTTTTCGGATACGAGCGCCGGTACGCGAGTCCCATATCTGTACGGATTTATCGGTGGATGCGCTGAACAGTTGGTCGCCATCGCTTGAATAGTGGACATCAAGTATGGTTCCCTTATGTCCGCCAAGAACTCCGTAATTATCGCATTCGCCGTAAGTGTTCCACAAGACTAATGAAGAATAAGAGATGTCCAGTAAAATCCAAAAATAAAAATCAATCAATCAATTGGCTAATAATAATGGGTTATACTGTATATATATATATGTAGTATTGGGGTAATAGACATATAATCAGTCAATTGCTACTATAGTTTATATCGGGGGTAGGGGGAGGGGTAGGAGATGAAAACGGAGATTATATATAAATAAATTATATATATATATATATATATATATATAGGATTGACACATAACAATAGTAAAGTACCGTATTTTAAAAATAATTTTTTTTAATAGTTGACAACTCTAGTAGTTTTAGTACAAACTATTAGACAATTTTTTTTTTGTTTATTAAATAAATAAAATTAATTTTGAATTTTAAAAAAAAAATACTGTAATTGTTTGAACTAATTTTCCTAATAAACCCCCCCCCCCCCCCCCCCGAAAAAAACCCGGGAAACACTATAATTACCCGATTTTTTTTTTATTAGTAAACATATTAGTAAATCATTATTAAAGGGTATTTTAGATCTTCGGGTCAATCAATCAGTCAATACATACAAATTTCACGATCAAAACCGGCCGAACAAAGTGTATTGCCGTCGGGATGAATGGCCACACTGTTTACTTCGCTCCGGTGTCCAGTCAATAGCATTATCGGCGCCAACAGAGCCGAAGTCCTTTTGGCGGTCAACTATATATATAGACGTCAAGAAATAGACATTAGTTTATTGGTGGTCACATTAAGTGGTCACTTCCGAGGAGAGACATATAAACAAATAGACAGACAAATAGATAGATAGATGACATACCAGTTCCGAGTGGTCATCGATTGCCGACAACAGCGACAGCTGGTCATTGGATTTCGGCTTTTTGTTGCCGACAACAAATGGCATCAATTGGTCGCTGGATTGGCGTTTCAAACCGTTAGTAGTGTTATTGTTGGTGACGGCCATCGCGCGCGCGTACGGGTAGTGTAGTCTAGTAGTGACCGACCGCTTGAATTGGTTACCGATTAGAAAAAAATCGGTTATTAATAATAATTATTATTATTTGACAACAAATCACAAACACGTGTATAATATATATGAAAACGTAATGTTTTAAGTAATTGAATGTTTTGTTACTAATATTTATTGTTTATATTATTTATATATTATTTTTACTCTATATATTTGTATAGACTTTTTGTGTGTGTAAACTGTAATAAGTAGTGATGTACCGATTGCAAAATGCGCAATTGCATTGGTCGGAAATTGCGTGAAATTGCCGCAATTGCAAAAAGCTCGATTGCGAAAATCGCAATTGTAACATACAACAATTTATAATTTTTTAAAAATTAACAAAATTTAAATGGTAAAGCAATATGAATAAAAACATAAATTAATTATATAAATTTTAATTATTTTATTATAAAATGTTGCCATCTAAAAACCATATTAATACTAATAATAAATTAGTAAATTATCTTAATCTATAGTAAATTAAATTTTTAACGTTGTAAAAGTTAATTTTTATACATTCCCTCATGCGCGCAATTTCAAGCTATTTCACGCAATTTTCCGCAATTGCGGCAATCGAAAATTGATTTGCGAAAAATTACCAACACTAGTAATAAGTAATAAATATTTTTATAAAAAAAATTTTTTTTTTACTTCAATTATAAGCCAATAGATGTCTACTAATACTGTAATGTATTGATAAAACAAACATTATACAAATCTATATACAGTTTAGAAATTAATGTATAAAATAATAACTAAATAATAAATCAGTTTGAAATTAATTGATAAAAAAAATTATATGCTATTAATATACCGTTTAATATATATAATATATACAGAATCTATACTATAGTTATTATTATTATTATTATTATATATGTATATTATGTTATATACTTGTATAACAATTTTTATGATTAAATTAACTTTCAATGGACTATATATATATATACCGTAATATATTTTGATAGTTGTTATATAAAGTATATTATTTTATACATACTGTTATATACAGTATAATATATATTGCAAAAGTAATATCAACTACAGGGGTATATATATATATATAACWTATATATATATATATATATATATATATATATATATATATATATATATATATATATATAAGTTTTATGGGCATAAAAATTTTATGATGATTAAATAAGACTGACTACACATATAATTATTTAGCGCCAGTAATCAATATATATATATATATATATATATATATATATATATATATATATATATATATACTGTATATTATATATATATAGTTGATATTAATTTATATATATAGTATATAATAAATATATATTAATTTTCATAATATAGATATGCTAAATATAAATATATATATATTACTAAAAGTGTTAATATAATTTGCTTTAAAAAAAATTAAAGATTATTATAATAAAATAATTTGGTTTTTATTTTTTGTTATATATATTTTTTGTTATATGTTTTTTTGTTATATATATTTTTTTAATTATATAGCAGTATAATTTTTTTAAAATATATTATTAGAAAATTATCAATGTATTGTTTTATATATATATATATTGAACTATGTTATATTAATAGGTTAATACTTATGGATTTATTTTTTTTTAAAAAAAAAGGTTAAAAGCTATAGAGTAACACATATAATATGTATGCTATTTATAATATGTATGGCATATATTAATTTCTATACAGTGTAATGATTTTATAGGATAGATATGATTTTATTTTATTAAAAAAAAATATTCCTAAAAATGTTAATATAATAATTTGCTTTTAAAAAAACATTATTTAAAATAACAATTTATTTTTTGTTTTTTTCCACACATACACACAAAAAATAAACTATACTTTTCCACTTAAAATTATACCAGTGTGTAATTGGTATTGTTATCTTAATTTAAAAAAAAAATCATTATTATTAGAAAGTTTTGAGTATATATATATGTACAGTATATATATATATAATACATGTATATATATGTGTGTTTATGTTAGTAGGTTAATACCCATGGATTTTTAAAAAGGGTTAAAAGCTATAGAGTATAACACATATTATATTTGTTATACTCTATAGCTTTTAACCTTATATATATACATATTTGGTATTTATATATATATATACTGTAAACATGTTGTAAATTACTAGTATTGAAGGGAAAAATATTTTTCCAAAAATTATAAATAACTTTCTCACTAAATTGGTGCTAGTTGATTTTATTTTTGGAAAAATCTTTTATTTTTCAAGGGGTGCAGCAATAGCAGCAGGCTAATAATATTTAATAATAATAATAATAAATACTTAAGTGTACTAGTTGCAATATTTTGTGTAATATACACAATATGTATTAAGCATATAAAAATAAACTTTCAATTATACCCATCAGAATTTTATTAATTAATTAATTATTTATATTAGCTAAATAGGGCTATACATGTGCCTATTACTTATATATATATATATTAAATAAAGTTATATATATATATATAAATTATATGACCTAGTATATATTTTTTGTAAAGAGAGAGAGAGAGAGAGAGAGAGAGAGAGAGAGAGAGTTAAATATTAACTATAGTTGCAATTATTGATATTATAGTGTTTTAGTATACACTATACTTGATAATTAATTATATTAATTTAAATAATTTATTTTTTACTAAATAAAAAATCATTAAAAAAAATTGCAAACTTATATAAAGTGTATATACATTATATACCATATTATATATCATATTATTTTTAGTTTGCAAATGCATTGACCAAACCATGTGAATGGTATCAATGGGTTATACACTGTACTGTACTGTATATACATTTTTAGCATCACTAGTGATTACAGTATACTACTGTATGTACAATATATCTATGATTTTTGCCACCACTATAAATGACTATATTATTCATGGGTTGGTTAGGTTGGATGCTATGGTCACCGAAAAATTCAATGATGAGAGAGAGAGAGAGAGAGCTAAAAATGCAATATAATGTACGGATTGCTCCTAGGATTTTGATGATGAGATTTTTTCCTCTCTCTCTCTCCAACTAATACAGTACAGTGTGTTATACTTTACTACCAGTGCTAATATGTCTGTCCACTAACTGTTTCCTCACTCACTTCACATTTTATATATATATATATATATATATATATTATACACATAAAAGAATGAGTCATACGTTTTGAGGCAAATATATAATATAATAGCTATACTACTATTGGAAAGCCTTTACCCAACATATAAAAACCCGTTCAATACTGTGACTGACTGGTGAAACAAACTGATAGACAGACTCAAAAGAGAGAGAGAGAGAGAGAGAGAGAGTGGACCAACATTTTTGCCAATAAATCTTCACATTCACTGCTTATTTACCATTTCTTTCGATCCAACGGTCTCTCTCTCTCTCTCTCTCTCTCTCTCTCTCTCTCTCTCTCTCTCTCTCTCTCTCTCTCTCTCTCTCTCTCTCTCTCTCTCTCTCTCTCTCTCTCTCTCTCTCTCTCTCTCTCTCTCTCTCTCTCTCTCTCTCTCTCTCTCTCTCTCTCTCTCTCTCTCTCTCTCTCTCTCTCTCTCTCTCTATCGATAATCTTTTTAATGGCGTTATTCCGTGTTTTGCCGCATATACGGTCTCCTCGGAGACTAACCACTAGTTTTATAGCTAAAATGTATATTACATATAAATATATATCTATATAATATAATATTATACTTTACTTTTATATACAGAGAGAGATAGAGATATATCATATTATTATAAGTTATACATATCTATCATATATATATGATATAAATTATATGGATTGATATATGGAAAATTATATATACAGCATATATATATATATATATATGTATGTATTAAATGATTAATATCTATCTGGACATTGTTTTGGTCGATATATATGTGTGTATGTATTCAATAGTATATACTGTATATATATACTCTCGAGAGAAATCATTTTAAGTTGAAAAACAATATTTTTTATTCATATCTTAATGATGGGTAATAGGCATCGGACTACTACTACTACTACTACTACTATATCCCGTACCAACAAAACAATAACCAAAAAAAAATGTATATATATTTTTATGGATGGATGGGGCGATTGGGATCAGTTTGCATACAACAACTAGTCAGCAATCGTCAACAATTACTCTCTCTCTCTCTCTCTCTCTCTCTCTTTCTGCTAAATACATCAGTAATATAAATGTATTTTTATACATATTTAGCACAATATATATATATATAGTATTAAAAATAATAATAATAATACTAGTAGTGGACACACAATAAAAAAACACAATAAAAAGTGTGGAGACATTTAATATGTATGAGAGGAAAGAGTGAGAGGGAAAGTAGTGCCAGAAATAGGGAGTGATTTCTTTCAATAGTTTTGGTTCATTAGATACATAAAAGAGGAAACAAGAGTGTGATTGAAGAGAGAGAGAGAGAGAGAGAGAGAGTTGTATGACAACAGATGCTCCCTATGCTCTCTTTGCTCTCTCTCTCTCTCTCTCTCTCTCTCTCTCACTGGTCATCAATTCAATAGGAAAGGGCATAAAAAATATGCCAACACTTGCCCGTTGCTATTGTTGAGAGCTTTCAAAACAAACCCTACAGTATTTGATAGGAAAATAAAAGGGAAGCAAAAAATCAAATAAAAATGTATGAAAAGGATTATATTTATCATATATATATAGTATAGTATATGTATTCAATACAATAGCCGATTGCTTTTTACTCATACAGTATTGTGTTTGTTATCATTATTAACACCCGAAGTGTGTATATATATATATACTAAAACATTTTTAGCTTATCATATACTATACTATACATTGTATATACTCTCTATACTACTGGACTATACATTTGATAAATTATATTATTATTATATATCTGTGAACAACAACAACAAAAAAATAGTTTTTAACTATTTAATATAATACACAATACTGTATGACCAATAGATTATTAATAGCATTAACATGTACTCTATGTTGTTGTAGTAGTAGTAGTAGTAGGAGTACTAAGTATGACTGCCAGGTGACCCCTGACCTCTGCATCTTTAATATTAAACATTTAGAGGATAGAGAGAGAGAGAGAGAGAG